CCATAGACTTTGTATGTAAACCTGCTGCTCCTGACGCTGAAATCGCGTTTGGTGTGAACGCACCATAAGAATGACTGTTGTTAACAAATCTTGTTCTGACTTTAATCATTCTGTCTGCAGATGAACAGCATGTCATGAAAACCTAGGTCATTAAAGGATGTCATGAATTACTTGCTTAAACATAAAAGTATTATTTCTACCACAGTGTTTAATTTACATTTTGTTGTTCTTTGTTTTATTTTTTTTATTCAAGTGCATATTTTGTTAGAGACTGAGAGTCCACTTTGTTAAACATTCTTTTAAAAATGAAAGTTTATTGATTTATTACACTTACATATTACGCTTTTATAATTATTAGTTGTAAAATGGTCACCAGGCAATATTATCGCTTATCGCAATAATTTTTGAGACAATTAATCGCCCAGCAAAATTTGTTATCGTGACAGGCCTACTGATAACAGTGTTTTTGACTTATGTATAGCATGCTGAAGTGAAATATGACAATCCTGTCATTAGTTCAGAGCGATCTTATGTGCATGCCAGCATGTTGGACAAAAGTTCCACTTATCTAAAAGCATACTGTGACAGGGCCTTACAGTAATAGCAGTAAATGTCATTAAAACTAAAACTTTTTTTAACCAATAGGTTTCATGATGAGAATATTTGCAGAATCTCGAGGCGTTAGAGCAGTTGTAACAAAAAAAATGATTGAACATAAAACAAAAGTCTGTTAAAAGATAAAATTCTGGTCAAATATATTAAGGACAACAGTTTAAATAAAAAATGATAATCTTTCTGGTGCACAGATGCTGAAAGTGCATTAACTATTTTTATGTTTCATCAGTTTTTTATTACTTGGATTTGTTGTTATGGAAGTGTTCTCGCACACATTTAGTCAGAGACATCAGTCTGCACAATACTCCGTCACACAAAGTTAGAATCGTTTTCTAATACAGAAGCTGTAAAATTAACTCTACAGATTGAATAGAGCAACCAAAACATGACGCCTACAATCAGCTGTCAGGCTTTTAAATTTATCCCCAGATATGTTTTTTTTAATTCATTATTATATCAGTCCATTTTGTTCTTATTTTTTTGTTGTGGTCAGTATTGACAAGTTAGAGAAAAATAAAAGAAGTGTCAAAATACAACACAAAGACAATTCAAGACCAAAACCTGAAACACTCCATTTGCTAAATAAGAAAAGACAAGAAGTCGTTTATGTATTCTATGTATGATGCATTCTTTGACTGAATCAGAGTGTTAGGATAAAGTAGGCGCTGCCCCATGGATACCTGTGACCTGGTCGACAAGGATGCGGGAAGTGATGATGCGCCCGTACTGGGAGAAGAGTTGCTCCAGCTCCTTTTGGGTCATGGTCTTGGGCAGCCCGCTGACGTACAGGTTAGCATCACGGATGGAGGCTGAGCTGGGTCGCGCATACGACACCTGCGGAGCAAACATAAAACCAAGAGTTGGAGTGTGTGCACACAAACTGAGCACTTATGACAAATTAAAATAGTGGAGGGTTAAAAAAAAATAATAATAAATTAATATATATATATATATATAAAATATAATCTTTTTTAATTATTTGTTTTGCGAACGGAAAGGGATGCGAATCATTGGATCCACAGGGAGGAAAATGAGACTGTATTTTTCTTCTTTGCCGTGGGGATTAACTTTGTTAGGAAAAAGGATTTGACTGCTTAGAACCCCAGAGAGACAACACTTCATGCCTCAGCCAGTTGTTTGCTGGGGGGACGCGCAGAAAAGTTTCTCCTGAGGAGAAACCACAGGTGGCTTCTTTTTCAAAACACAACTCACAATTAAAACAAAATGAGTCACTTGTACGGTGCACTGCTCTGAAGGAGAAAATCATGATGGGAGCATGAAAAAAAAGGCAAATTTGCTGTCATGTTCCTTTCATTAGAGACTATCAAATCAACTTTACTGCAGTTGTGCACATTTTCTCCACTGAAATGACTTAATATGTGGGCGTCATGGCTTGGCAGGAAGTGATTATTCCGTGCTACTAGTGAACTACCACAACATCTTCACTTCTACACCTAATTTTTGCAGCAGTGAAAATGGCATAAATCCCATTCCTGCAGCTGCTGACTGAAGCAGCTTTTCCTCGGAGTACTTTCATTACCTCTGACAAGCAGAGACATAAGTCATCAAACAGGGTTAAAGGCAGGCAAACATGCAGTGGATGTGCAGCCGTATCCTTAAGCAACAGCATGGAAATCCTGCTTGTGAGAGAATAGGATTGGGAACAGCTGGCTTTCCCCAAGTCTCGCTTCCCTTTCACACATTTTCCTCCTCGGCCTATCTGCTCAGCGCCTCCATCTCCGTCTTCCTCCCTGCAGCTCTCTTCCCTTTTCGTTGCCTGGTTATTTTGCTTCTGCTTCCTTCCTGCGTGCTGCTTCACTAAACCTTTCCCGAGTGTGCCTAGTTTTTTTTTCTCCCTCCCTACTCCTCTTTTCTTCACCGTACAGCTCTCCCTCATTTTCTCTCCTTGTCAGCCAACTGCAGATGTCTAATCCATCAACACCTCCTCAAGCTGTGAGCAGTATTGTGTAGTGCGACGCATGTGTGAAACAGGAGTGTGTGCTTGTGTGCAGGAAAAGTTAGGGGAGGTGGGGGGGAACTAAGTGTGAGGATTAAAGTAATCATAAAGTAATCATAAGCACGTGCTGGATGAATGTATCTTAGCTTGTGTGCATATACGTGTCGCTGAGCTCCTCGCAACTTTTTCGCACGACGCTCCCCCTCACACCGCAGCGCACCGCTGACAAAATTGGAGGTGTCACGACGGAGGAAACTTTACCAGCGAGGAACCGAGTCAAAGACACTTTGGAGAGACGTGTTGCCTGAGAGAACGCGAGTCTCCAGAGCGAGCGTTTCCTCACAAGTGTAGTGGCAGCGAGTGGGAGAGGGTGTGACATGAAGAATGACAAAACTTAATTTTAGAATTACTGTGCTGCTTTTTAATTTACCTTGTTGCCTTTAGGGGGTTTCAGTCTGTTGTTGCGAGAGAAAACAAGGGAAAGAGAGTAGTGGGAGGAAGGAAATTAAGTGTGAAAGAGTGATAGTGTCAGACAGAGATGTTGTGTTGTCTTCTGTCATGACAAAGACCTCTTTTATCACAAACAACTCGAGGCAGGATCTTGCGTCATGAGTGTGAAAACGAGAAAATCTGTTAACTCAGACCCCGCTGCACTGTGTAAACAACCTTTACCTTCCACTTTTAAATACTGACACTTATTTTTACTGAACGCTACAGTTTGGCACACAATACTGTGACTACAGGATGTCAGTTACAAACACCTGTTTTTAAAAAACACCTGCAAATAAACTTGCTTAGACTAAAGTGATAGTTCAGATTTTATCAAGTGAAGTTTTATAGAAAGATTGTTAACAATCAATATCTTAACTGTTAAAGATATGTTTTTAAACCACTACAGTTTGGAGAAAGTTTAATTTGGGACAGATGAGCCAATGGCTAGTCTGAGCTGGGTCAAGACAAAAGTGAATCACTGCTGTTTTAATACGACTTTATCACAAAAATCATAGTAAGACATGCAAACAGTATTCTTTAAATCTGTGGTTCCCAACCTATTATCCTCAAAGTCCCGTTTTTTTTGTCCGAGCCAAGCTGAGACCCCCCCACCCCCATACACACACACACACATAATCCATCGCTACTCCTCACCTCTCCCAAAGACGTGTTCAACCTTTATCAAAATAATAAAAAAATAAAGTTATGATATTTTATTTTGAAAATAATAAATACAAAGTTTTAATT